TACCACGTTCTCTCCTTCCTCTCCTTGTTACACCCCACTCAATTCTCGGGGGCATGTCGTATTCATTGTTAAACCCACTGTCAATTTCTGTATAAACCCCGGTATAGTCCTTGGCCGTTCGCAGAGGTGCCATTACCGCCTCTAGGTTCGCCCATAAACCTTCCGACGGCATAACATCCACCATGCAACCTCCATATCGTCAGCCCAACACTCTTGTCGTTCCTCCACTCGACGCCACCACCAGCAACACCATTGTCATCCACCGACGCTCACACATCCACCAATACCGCTCGACACACCTCCACATCATCAATTAAAAAAAAAAAGAACAGATCTGAACCAAGACCGGATTTGCACAAAGCTGCCGTGGTGGTGGAACGAAAAAATGAAACGGTGGTGGTGCCGGCGGGCGGCGGCGACATGGATAGAGAGAGAGGGGAAAGAGATAGAGAGAGAGTGTGAGAGAAAATGAAATTAAGGTTTGAAAATTGTGTAGAATTGATTTACATAAAAATTAATTTAAAAATGATTAATTAAAACCTGATTTATGTACTATTAAAGTTGATTCTGGATTTTTGATAATGGTAACTTAAAAACCTTTGTGGGTGTAATTTCCTCTTTTAAATTTTTGACTGTGTTGGGTTTTGTAATTCAAATTCGGTCCAAATGGGGTTTTAGGGCTTCTCGTTTTGGAGTATTGGGATTGAAGATGACAAAATATAGTCCAAGAAGGGAAAAAAATGTAAATTGACGACGCTGGACGGACGCCCGCTTATAGCTCGAGCATTAGGAACAAAATTGAAACAGGGAGTTCGTCGCTGAGCTATCGCTCGAGCGACAGACCGTTGTCTGCTTCTCACTCGAGCAACAGGCCGCAAATTTTTTCCTTCTTTTTCGATTTTTATGTGATTTTTAACCTAATTTCCATATTTGATGTTAATTTTAGGGTTTGGACATCTCCCATAAATAGTTAACTCTTTATTCTAGTTTTATTTGAAAAAAATAAATTGTAACTAATCTATTTTTCATTTTTTTTCCTTCTCTCTCTTTTTTTTTTATCTTTATCGTTTTTAATGAAAAATATCTATATTTATTTAATTAAGATGACTTAACTTTTATTCTTTTAAAAACATTTTTATTGTAGATGACTTAATTTTTATTCTTTTAAAAACATTTTTATTGTATGGGGAAGTGAAAAGAAATTGTGGAACCTCGTATATGAGAATTTGACATTGCGTGCGTTTGGCCTCCATTTTGTATCAAATTTTTCCGAACTTTTTTCAATATATGTGGGCCCAGGTTTGAAAGAAAGGGCTTTGGTCTGACAGCAACGGAGGCCACTTGACTACTCACCTTTGTGTTCCATTTTGCAAGTTTTTACTTTCCATTTATGCCCTTCAAATTATGGTAGGTGGCTTTCACTTGATTTATGGGGTGTTTGGTGGGGATTAAAATTAGATTTTTAGTAAATTGTGATAGAGGTTTTTGAAATGTGTGGTTGAAAAGTTGTGGGACATATTAAAGATGTTAATATTAAGCCCCTGTTTGACCCACATTATATTTTTTCATTCTCATTTTTCTACTCATTTTCAACTACACATTTTTCAATAAAATAATATTTTACATCGCATCAATAATTTTTCTTTCATTTTCAACCACATATTTCTCATCACATCACTTCAAAAAAATGTATTCTCTCATTTTAATTTGCACCAAACAGGCTATGATTTTTTGACTTTGACTTGAATTAAAATCAGATTTTAATCCGGACCAAACAAGGGCTTATTGTTACCACCAGTAATTGTTCCGCGTACTATACATGAAAAGTCAAAACACGAGCTGCATTTTTACGAAGTCAATCAAGCTACATTGATAACGGGTAGATGAAAAATGTATTCTCAAATACGACAAAATGAACTTGTGTCTAGGTGTCGACAAGTAAAGCGAAAGTGCGAATACAGACAACATACATCTTTCATTTATATGGGTTGTAAAACTACTAACGTAGAGCTCGTGTCATATAATCGCGTAGTTGTTGCCACTGCATGTCATCTTCAACTATTACATCTAACTCTGCAGCAATTTCACCTTTTTCATCAGGTAGGTCTATCTCAACTTCGTCGCCATCCACTTCTATGGTTTTACGAAAATCCTCATCCAGCCGACCACATCAATTTGCTCTCTCATATTGTAACCACGCGTTCGATCAAGAATCTTCCATCTTTGTTTCCAAACACCAAACGCAAGCTCAATAACGTTACGGCACGAAGAGTGATGAAAATTGAACTACTCACTTGCATTTCGAAAACCACATTGCATTGTCAGGGATAAATACTGACATACTATATTCAGTGCCAAGTATTTGTGAACAATGCACTCGCCTATTTGACATTATTTTGAAGGCCCGAGAATGGCTAACCAAAAGGTGGGGTGCATTGGTTTTTAAATTTTTTTCAAAAAATTAATCTAAATTCAAACAAGTAAAGAACTAAATAGATTAATTCAAATAATAAGTATAAACATAAAAACGATAAACAAAAGGGAAAGAAGATACAAACGATATAATTGTAGAAGTTCGATCCAAAGCAATCATCTACGTCCTTCGTTACCAAGCTCTTTGGTACAAGCAATGTTTTTTCACAATGTTGATTGACTTATGGTGCAATAATGCTTACTATGACTTACAAATGAGTAGCGATGATCCTTAGACAATGTTGAGTTTTACGAGATCTCAACACGACCCACTATTGAGCTTTTACGAGATCTCAATATGACCCACACGGTGACTTATTACAATGAGCACCGATCCTTGTACAATGTTGATCTTTAAAGAATTTCAATACGACTCACACTTTATGAAAGTGAGTTTACAATGAAAATTATCTTTTGATAAATAATACAAACAAGTTAAGTATTAAAAGAAGCTAACATTTCAATGAATTGTAATAAATGATAGCTCAAGTGTTAGATGAAAATTTTTGATGAATATGATAATAAAAAATTAGATTCAATCAATCAAAGTGTTTCAATGAGAAGATGATGAAGAAATAAATACAATGTAGGTTCAAAAATCTTTTCAAAATACATCTCTCTTTTAATAAATAATTGTAATAAATTAAGTACTAGGAGATAAATGAGAAGCTTTGATGAATATGATGATTTTACAAATTTGATTCAATCAATCAAAATTTTTCAATATGAAAAAGTAGAAAAGTTTATGCAATATAAGTGCAAGATCTTCTTCAAAAATATAGCTATCTTTTAAGATTGATATAAATAAGTTAAGTACAAAAAGAAATGAAAAAAACTTTGATGTGAGAAATGATTTAAGAAGTTTGATTCAACAATCAAAAATTTTGTTATGAATAAATAAATGAAATGAATGTAAAAATGTAAGTTCAAAGAAGCTATTTTATAAATATATTTCACAAGAAAGCTCCCTTTTAGCTGTTTAATGAATACAAAGTGAAGTGGACTGGATGACGTTCGGTTGACATGGTCTGAGTTACCAGTAGTATACCGCTACAGGGTATATGTGCAAAAATGAAACCAGATCAATAAGGTTATAGTCGCTACATTGATTGTTGGAAACAAGTTTTAGGTGATCAAAAGACAAAACAAAAGTCATACATGGACAGATGAAAAAAAATTAAACTCTCAAAATCAGAGATTAACCATGTGTTCGGGGTAATATGCTCGATCCCTCATGTTCTATCTTAAAGATCTTGATTTGTTATGTAAGCTTGTGGAGTTGAAGGAGCAAAAAATGAAGGTGTCGAATCGACCATAGAAATGACGTGTCGACAAGCGAAACCCGGACGGAAAAAAGAATCGATTGGGATGGAGGTGCTGACTGCTCCTTCATAAAAAACCCAACACGGAGCTTCGATTTGTTGTGAACTAATTCTATTTGTAGTTGTGGATTTGCCCGGTTGCATACGAAGGAGGAACGTCGCAAACAAGTTGGTGAGCTTGAATGGTAGGGCTAAAATGGCGAAGGGTAATGTTGTACATTTCCACTTGCATTTGAGGGCACAATGGTCCGACAACGCTCAACGACCGTATCCACGTTATATCGAATTTGACAAAATTCTGACTTGTTTTAACATATGCTCGGGCTACTGCCATAGAAAAATGAGATTTGGTTAAAAAAAAAAAATTCATTAAAATAAGTATCAAACGATGGCATTGTTGTTCTGGTCCTATGTGAAATCTATTTTAAATGAAAGTTTTCAAAAAGTTCTAAAATAAAACTCTATAAACTTTTGTGAATTCTTTTATTAATTTTATATAAATCCATAAAAAATTCACAGAAATCATCACATTAAGAGCTTGTTTGGGAGAGGTTTTTGGGGGAAGAATTGATTTTGAATAGTGATATGATGAGAAATGTGTAGTTGAAAAAGAAGAAAATATTATCGATATGATGGAAAATATTATTTTATTGAAGAATATATGGTTAAAAATGAGAATTGATTTACTGTAAAAAAATCTAATCCCTCCCAAACGGCCTAGAAAAAGGAAGTGTAAAGCGCATAAAAGTTTTCAAAATTCCAATGTAATGTATCCGTGAGCTGCTAAATAATTTGATGGCATTCATGAAATTCTGATCTCTAAATGACACTTGGTTCATCTAATCTATACCGTTCATGTGTCGCCTAATCAACAGCTCATATTCATGATCTGTGGCACTAAGAACTCACCAATCAGACCCCGTCACCGTCTCCTATATAAGAATAGCCACACACGACATCCGTCTCATCCACGATCCAATTTCAAGAGTAAAAAATCACATTCCTTCCGTCAATTCTTTCATACGAAACAATGGCCCCAAAGGCAGAGAAAAAGCCAGCTGAGAAGAAACCTGCCGCCGAGAAAACTCCGGCAGCCGAGAAGGCTCCGGCGGAAAAAAAGCCAAAAGCCGGAAAGAAATTGCCAAAAGAAGGCGGCGCAGCGGCAGGAGACAAGAAGAAGAAGCGGACGAAGAAGAGTGTTGAGACCTACAAGATCTACATCTTCAAGGTGTTGAAACAGGTTCACCCTGATATTGGGATTTCCAGCAAGGCCATGGGTATCATGAACAGCTTCATAAATGATATCTTCGAGAAATTGGCTCAGGAGGCTTCCAAGCTCGCTAGGTACAACAAGAAGCCGACCATCACTTCTCGGGAGATTCAAACTGCTGTGAGATTGGTTCTTCCTGGAGAATTGGCGAAGCACGCAGTTTCTGAGGGTACAAAGGCTGTCACAAAGTTCACCAGCTCTTGAATGGGCGGTAAATTAGGGTTTCTACTGCTGCTTGTTTTTAATACATTCTATAACGTTGTAATATTTAGGGTTTATTTGGGTCTGGATGTAAACAAACTTTAGGTTATGTTGAATCTTATTTTTTCCCTTTCTAGATATAAATTTTATTATAACGCATTTGTTTAGTTGATTTCTATTTTCATTAACCAAGAATTTGTTCTGTTTGCCCTTTAATACTTGAGAATAAACTTGCAATACAAATTTGACTTTCTAAGGGATTCAAAACTCTGGTTCTTGAAGTTTTCAAACCCTAAAATTGTAATATCATGATATTGTGTTTTAAACTTGTCATATTCCTTGATTAGCAAGATGTCAGAGTTGGAGCTTCATGCGTGGGCAAAGACGGCTGAATTTGGAAGTGGAATACAAACCTGTTTCTGCTATTCCAAGATTTGGTCTTTAGTTTGGCTGCAATTTGGATCTCACCTATGATCTATTGTGGTTCTATGTTGACAATAATAGATGTGGATGTCTTTCTCCTCCATTCAGTTCAATAAAACCTTATTGCTATAATGAAGAAAGTTAACATTTGTTTAGCAATTGTAGCACCCTCTTAACGAATCTGATTGAATCATACATTCAAAATTATCTTTGGCGGATAGACCCTTATTGGGGCGCCAAATGGCCCCCGGGATGGCCAGGGCCACATCTGCCCTGGCCATGTAGCAGGCTTCATCAATTATGAAGTCCCACAGATGTCATATTTTAGGAGCCCAAATTATGTGAATGAAATTTTCTGCTAACATGATTGTTTTTGGTGAGATATATGAGCTCAGTTGTAGATTAAAAAGAGGATAGAAAGGGATGGATGACCTTCCAAGTACTATAGTTCTCTTTGAGTTGGCTGGCTGGCACCAGCACCAGTTAATTTAACAGCTAACTCATTTTTGTTCATTGGGTGCGCGGTCATATGATATGATCATCGATTGTTGGATTGATACAATGTCAAAAGGAATGACAGTGGATTTACCAAGAAAAACTCATCGAAGATAAGAATTTTTATCGGAGAAACGAGCCTCTTTCACTCAGTGCCTCTGTTTATTTTTCTAAGCCACTTTCTATTACAGGAAGGAGACAAAGTGAATTTAAAATTTAAAACCAATCTTTTATAATTGAATTTTTAATCTGAAATCTACAAATCTTTCAAACAAGCACAATCTTCACCAAACTCACTTGTCCAATAAGCAAGTGTTACGTGAATTTGAGTGATCCACGCTTACATCTTTATGTACATTGATTTTTGATCTGTTAAATTAGCATGTCCTTGTTTGAAGACGACATTTGAAAGTGGTCAATTAAGAAAGATAATTACAGTCTCTCTCCCATTGGTTCTGATGTTAATTTATTTAAAGTTATTGAAAAAACAATTTTTGCTAAAAACTTTCTTAGTTTACCCTCATTTAAATTATCAATAACTAGTAGTAAATTGTGATTGGAAGTAGTAAAAAAATAAGAGCATATTAGTAAACGAAAAAAAAAAAAAATTCTTAATATTGGTATTGGTCGATTCCCTTAGTCGAAATGAAGCTTGTTCCTGTGACTAATTACAGGCGAGGAGGTGGACCGTTATTATTTTCCATTTCTATTGAATTCTTGGCTGTGTGATGAAACAATTCTCTGTTTTCATTTATTTGGTATTGGCTATGGTTCACTTGTGCAGTTGCTAAGTTTACGGCAGTCCTTAAGGTAGTGGTCGGTATAAAATTTGGTTGTGCTGAACAATTTTTGATGGTTGTTTGTAGTGTGCATATATACATTGATTCTGTCAGCACGGGGAGGAAATTTGAATCTGACCCGTCGAATGAAATGGGCTTATGCTAGAGCATAAGCTAAAGATCATGCTTGCTTGCTTGCACTGTCTATCACGTAGGTAAGTGAACTTGGTTGATATTGGGATTTCCAGCAAGGCTACGGGTATTATGAGCAGCTCCATCAATGATATTTTCGAGAAATTGGCCCAAGAGGCGTCCAAACTTGCAAGGCACAACAAGAAACCCACTGTCACTTCTCGGGGAGATCTGCTTCCGCTGGAGAGTTGGCTAAGCACGTTGTTTCCGAAGGGGCTAAGGCGGTGACAAAATTGGCTAGCTCGTGATTGAATTTTAGGGTTTAGAAATTAGGCCAATTTTAATAAAATTTCTAGGTTGAGTGGGTCTAGTTTTCTTGAACTGTTGTTATTTTGCATACATGTGGTTTTTGTCCACCATCTCGCTTCACTTCTTCGCTAGATATCATTGAGTCCTCGTTTTTCTCCCATTCCTTCAAAATTCTTTTTTTATACATACTCAATTTCAACCAAACATTTACAAAATAAAACGTTTCACACATAAATAAAAAAATCACACATTCTCCAAAAATTTATTATTCGAAACGATGTATTTGAAAAAATGGCCACCAAACAAGGGTTAAATCTTAAATCTTTTGCAACTGCAACAAACCATTGTCACCAGTTGACGACAAAAATATTGTAACTTATAACATGCTTCAAAGTTAATTTTTTTTTAATAACCGTAGATGGTCGGGTCAGTTTGTGTGCACCTCGACTACTCCCACGAGTCCTGAAATTTACGGCCAATCTACATACTCACCTCGGTAGCCCTAAGGGAACTCGAACTGGTGACCATTAGAAAGCAAACTCAATGCCTTATCAATTAAACAACCTCTCAAGGTTCATATGATATACAAATAATCGTCACTCATCTAGATGACAGCACTTCGTCATCTTGTACAGTTCTTTTTCCTTTTTGCCTTCTGGGTTTGCATGCAGAAATCTTTCTATTTAAAATTTGCACTAATAGCCTATTAACTGACATTCTTGTTTGAATTGGAACCATACAGACATCATATTTTCCAACCGGATTTGTCTGATGACATATTATTGGAATTCTAAACAAACCTCGTATTCACAACTTGTTAGTTATTGTAGTTTAATTTTATTGCAACTGTACCCATCTAACAACCTTACCTTCTGATGGAAGCATTACCACAAAACCTACATCAAGACGTTGGGATCAATCTAGCGAGAAGCTTGGTGTGGAAAGTTCGGTATTGTGATCCCTCTCTACGATGTGAAAATAAAAGGGTGAACCCAACAATTCAAATTTTGGACTCTCCACTTGATTGATGATAACGATGTTTTCTTTTAAGATGGTAATCAAGTAACTATACGATTTCTTAAATAAGCAAAGATTAGCATTTTCAAGCAAGCCACCATATTTGAGAATTGAGACATATTATTATTATTAATGATGGACCACATCCACCTAACCTGCAAGAAAGCGTCCATTCTAGGATGCATAAACTGAATGTTGAGTAAATAATATAACCAAGAAATCTTCGAAAAGTTGGGGCCACATGGATTGTAACCTAAATCAATGAATATTCGACATAAAATGAAATGTGGGAATTCAATTATGGTCGGAACAATTCCAGTTATAGCATAATCAGCCCAAAGAATGATATTTTTCTAAGGAGTATTCCTAATGTTTTTTTTCAGTTTGTCAACAGATGTTCAGCATCTTAGGACTGAACATCTATGATTCAGCATAAGTTGTTTGTAATAATTTCAAGTCATAGGATGAAGCCTTCGATCAATAAATTTCCTCGCTCACTTTTATATGCTTTGTGTGATGGGGGGGGGGGGGGGGGGGGGGGGGGGGGGGTGCTTGTGCTTTATATTCCACTACGGCAAATAGTAGATTAGGCAGATGAACATGCACAAGGGGATCTCAAGGAAAGCTTTGTTCATATGTGACAATTCATCCTTTTTTATCTTAAACTACTGCATAATTCTTGGTCTAGAACATACACATTTGATTTTGATTCATGTCATAGCAATCAATTATATTTTATTACTGGAATTCGACATTTAACTGAGCAGATGGAATTCTCTGTTCTTAATCAAATCATTTTTATAGATTGGACATCATATTCCATACATTGTAGGACATTACAATCTATATATTGGATTCAATGACAAAAACCCAATCAATATTCATTCCTTCCAGAAACCATAAAATACAGGATAAACTAACCTAATTATGACAATAGAAACAGAAAGAAAATCTCCTCTAAGAGCTGGTGAACTTGGTGACAGCTTTTGTACCTTCTGAAACGGCATGCTTAGCCAATTCCCCAGGCAGAACCAGTCTCACGGCAGTCTGGATCTCCCGCGAAGTAATGGTAGGTTTCTTGTTGTACCTGGCGAGCTTGGACGCCTCCTGAGCCAATTTCTCGAATATATCATTGATGAAGCTGTTCATGATACCCATGGCCTTGCTGGAAATTCCAATATCAGGGTGAACCTGTTTCAACACCTTGAAGATGTAGATCTTGTAGGTCTCAACACTCTTCTTCACCCGCTTCTTCTTCTTGTCTCCCGCCGCTGCGCCGCCTTCTTTTGGTAATTTCTTTCCGGCTTTCGGCTTTTTCTCCGCCGGAGCCTTCTCGGCGGCGGGCTTTTTCTCTGCGGGCTTCTTCTCTGCCGCCTTTGGAGCCATGTATTTTGATTTTCAGATGGAAAAAGAGAGCCAACTGATTGAAGAAATTTGGAAGAAACTGATGAGTAATGGGAGATGGGGGCAGAGTAATATAAGGTTTTGAAGTTGAAGTGTGATTGGTTTATTTTCAGCAACGCGGATCGTCGGATATCAACCGTTGATTAAAGAGAAATGAAACGGTGGATATTGAATGGGGATACTTCGGAAATTTCCTTTTTGCGCGCTTGTTTGAAAGTGAAGCGCCTATTTCAAGAAAAAGAAAAAAAAATAAGGATTAGTCTAAATGTACACAATTCATTACATAATGAATTACACTCTCCTCACATGGAGAGGGGCCCACACGTAATAAAATATTCGTTGGCTCTCCTCCATGTAAGGGGGGTGTAATCCATTATATAATGGATTATGCGTACATCTAGCACAACCCAAAAAATAAAATGGAGCGTATTGAAGAAATCAATGAAATATATCAATTTCAAACCCCCAATTTCTATAGCATTCGAAGGGGAAAAAAACAGCAATGATTCATGTACTGAAGCCATTTTGACACAAAATTTTCAGAAAGCAAACATGTGGGTTCCGCAAATTTTTTCTAATGCATGGTGGAGCCCACTCATTATTAGTATTTCGGTGAATTTTTGTAAAAGCATTTATGTACAAATGAGAATTTGTTTGGTACAGCTCAAAATTGAATTAAAATTGAAAATATAGTCGTTATTGAGTCCCACTAGTCTAATAAAAGTCAACAATAATGACTAATTTTTCAATTTTAATCTCTACTGAACACGCTCTGAATTTTTCCAAAAAAAAAAGAAGTGATTTATTTTTTATAAGAGTTGGTCAAACTTTATTTTTAACTACCTATTTTTAGTAATGTTATTTATCATCATAATAATAAAATATCGATGACGTGATAATTCATTATCCTTCATCCTCATGTCTCTCATAAAAATTGAACTGTCCAATCTCATTATTCCACACATATAGGCCCTGTTTGGGAGAAAAGATTTTAATAAAAAATTTAGCCGTTAACTATCAAATCAGTCACAATTTTTTACCTTTCTTCTCACTGGTGGAGCCCATGGGTTGACTTTAACGGCTATAATTTTGATTAAAATCTCACAAAAATTTCTCCCAAACACACTCATATTATCACATCACCAACATTTCATCATTATAGTGATAAATAGCATTATTTCTATATTTTATTTAACAAACAATATTTAGTACATGTTTGACAACCATTAAAATAAGTTTTTTTTATTTTTTTGGAAAAAATAGTTTTAGAATTTTTTTTTTTTTAATGTGTAGTTAAAAAATAATAAAAATTTTTGAATTGTGATAATGTGTAGTTGAAAACATAAATGTTATGTAGCCCCACAAAGGTTATAACCTCAATCTATATGACATTAGATTCTAGGCTAAATGAAATGTGGAGTTAAATGATACATTTAATTCTACTTATCATTTAATCTCGTGTTAGCACTGCCTAAATTGAGATTATAAATTTAGTATGATTAAATAATAAATAACATTACTCGATTGGAAATAAGTTTTTTTTTAAAAATATTTTAATGACTGTCAAATAGTGACTTTTCACACATTTTATGAAAAAGTTTTAGATTTGGATTAGCATGGCAATCGAAACCATAACGGTGTCAATTTTGAGATGGACTATCCACATAGGGATGACAATTCAAAGTGTTAAAATCGAAAATCGCGGTTAACTGAACAGAATGAGGCAAAAAAATCAAACCGATGATACAATATTGTAGTTATGATTTTGATTTTAATGACCCGATTTGAGGTAGGGCGAGTATGGTATTTAGCAACGGTGTACCCGTCCCGAACCAATTACCCGTTAAAAAAAAATTAATTAGACAATTGGGCTTTCCATTATTCTTTCCCAAAATTAATTGGACAATTGAACTTCCCCAAAATTCTGGCCCAATTAACATTATTAGTAAACCCTTAATTCAGTAACCAAACTTACAAAACACTCGTCTACTCAACCAATGAATCAAATGAGATTCGCCAACGCTCTGATGTTTGCACCTCAGCTTCAAATTGTAGTAATTAGCAACGAAGTCTACCATCATGTAAGCACACTCCTTGAGTTGTTCTGCGTCCATTGGCTTCAAATCATCTTCATTGTACAGTTCAACAAAACCCATATACATTATACTTGATTGCATTTTCTTTATAATATTATTTAAATATACGATGCATGACCCGAAAAATATGATTTTTTGTCTATTTTGCTTGCTTGTTTATGCGTTCTTCAGTTTCTCAATGTTCATAAGAAATAGAGAGTCGAATTATTAATTTGGTTACAAAATTAATGTGGCTTTTTGCTAATGTTATTAATGACATTCCATAATTCAATATATATTTTGGGTTATATTGTTTGCGAGAGATTGATAATTTACCAACCCAGCAGGGAAGAATTATTTTTTTTATTTTTGCTTTCATTTTTCGTATATCTGTCAAACAATTTTTATTTTTATAGTTTTTGTCATTTGCATTTCTCTATTTGGTAGGTACAATGGATGGTTTGTTTCCCTTTTTAGTGTGTCAGAATAAAGAATTTTGATTTTCTACAAATGCAAAATATAAATTTATTTTCTGCAATAGTGCCTAATTCTGCTCATTCATCATACTCCGAAACTTGTGTAAGGTTTAGCGAGGAGGACATTGATGAAAATGTACATTTTTTGTTTAAATCTTCAGTTAATATCATTATTGATTATGTAGTATGATTGTATTATTATTTTAATTACATTTTTTATTTACTATATAGGAGTCAACTTCGAGTATTAACTTTTGAACTATGATAGTAAGCATTGTGTAGAATAATGAAGATTGACCTATGCTAGTAAGAGTCTTGACTTATGTTGATAATATTGTTTGTTAAATTCGAATTTTACATTTGTAAGCTGGGATATTGTTGCTTTTTCATTTGATATATTGTTTGCTAAATTGACTTAGTATTGTGTTTTTGTTATTTTCTTCATAATTTTTTTTTTATTTCACGGTTGGAGTTTGAACTTATAAAAAATAATTTATTTTCATGGTTATTAACTGAATCGAATCGAGACGAACTGAACCGACTTATGTGGTTATGGTGCGATTATGGTATGACAAAAAATTTGGTGGTGCGATTATGATTTTGATCGAATCGAACCGTTGCCATCCCTATATCCACACGGTCGCTACTCAACAAATATTACACCTTTTGTGTCCACCTTTGATGAGGGTATCACTCTACATCTTGCAAGGCCTATACGTAATCACCAGTATGAGTGTGTGACAGCAAAGGTCGCGTGGGTTTCCAATTGCGAGAGAACCATTATTTAAAAAAAAAAAAAAAATTTACACACTTATTTTCAATAACATATTTACACAATAAAATATTCTATACATAAATTTAAAATGTTTCCTTACGTTTCCACCACACATTTATAAAAAAAAATCATTATTCAAAACTCTATTTTTATCGAAATAATGGTAGTGAAACTAATTCAAGTGAGCTTAAGTGATTGATAAATTTTTAAAAACTAATTTTAGAATAATTTGTAGTATGCGGCACCATATTTGAGAAGTAGAAAAATATAAGGCCCGTTTGAGCCCCATTTTTTTTTTGTAGACTGCATTATTGGAATAATAAATCGATTGAAAATGTGTAGTTGAATGAGATTTTTTTGGGCTATGCGTGTAATATTATTTTATTGAAAAATGTGTTGTTGAAATAATAGAAAAAAAATATATTTTGAAAATAATGAGAATCAATCACGTGCATAGCGTTTAAGATTTTGCTTTTAGCATATTATAATAAAAATATCAACTTTAACCCTAATTAATTTAAGGAAATTTTGCAGTGAAGGTTTCAAAAATTTCCAAAAAGCAACACTGTTCAAACTTTTAAATATACATTTTCAAAAATTTACTTTTCCTAAGATTTATTATTATTATTTTATCAAACATGAGCTTATTTATTTTTCTTGACTAATAAGTTTACTCTTTCAAGTCCTCAATTTCTCTAATTTTTTAAAAAACTCATTTTAATTACATATTTCATGACATTCGTAACTTTTATCCTTCTCAACCACAAATCGGATTAACTTTTATCAAATTTTACTAAAATTCTATTATTTAGCTAAACCAAACATGGGTTAATTTAACCATTTGATCCTCGACTTTTTTGACCTTTCTAGGTTAATTTTCTGACCAATTTTAAACATTAAGCCCTTACTTGACATAATATTTTTTTGAAATAATGAGTTTTATATGGTAAATTTCTAAAAAAATTGTGGTTAAAAAGTATGAAAATTTTATTACGAAAATTCATGCTCTTAAAAATAAGTTTGATAAAAAATGCGTTTTTTAAATAATGGAGTTCAAACATGGACGTGTTCTCAAAAAAAGGGAGATTAAACGGGGGGCTAATTGTTCCTAAATAGAGTTCAAGTCTTTATTTGACGAGAAATGCTATGGGTAATGTGAGTGGGGTGGGGCCCATGCTACAATATCGTGGGCCCCACCCCCACTCATATTAGGTCAAATGTTATGTGAAATGCCATAGCATTTCTCTTATTTGACAATTATTATTTGAATTTTTTTCCGATATAATCACTTTTAATTACATATTTATGTAATAAAATGTTCTGTATTATATTTATTTATTTTTTATTTTTATATTTGAACTATACATTCTCGTAGAAATTACCATAACAGCAACCTGACAAACGAATTCTAACAGGTCAACTCCCGCTTCAAACCCCTCTTATCTACTCCCATTTTACGCGGCTCTTTCAACACCTAAATCTCGCTTCCTTCACCTATAATCTATAATATAGATAATATAAAAAATATACATCACATGGCAGCATTTTCAACTTTCAATTTCTCTCAAGATTCCTAATGCTCTGACTCTCCCTATATACATACATACATAGATATACATGTACAAGCATGGCAATGGAAGGAACCCAATCTCTACA